TACAGGATTAGGCCAGTAATTTCTTCTAACAAGTGGTACTCCGAACTGCTTAGAATGTTAACAATCTGTTCTAGCGAATCGGTGCGAACCTGTAGAATCCCACCCCTGGAGACAGTACACACAAGTAGAACCATAGCACAACATTATGATAAATGTTGTGAGCAAGAGCAGAAATGGGTTTTGTTGGGAAAATCTTAGGTGGTTTTGGTGGGAAGACGTTTTAGCATGTTTCTAGATCACTGGTGCAAATTAACCACTCCATCATTTGCATAATAGCAATTTATTTTCACAGAAAGCAAATTCTTAGCCAAATGATAAAGCACATAAAAGTGAATTCCCAACCTAGGAAAACCTGTAAATCATAACAGTGCTCTGAGAAAGTGAAAATAACGCATGTCTGCACATGTTTGATCTTTAAAATTCTATAGCAACTCTTAATTTTCCTATTAATTGAATTAAATTAACCTTCTTTAAGCCTGGGTGGAGAGTCAGTGGTCTTCCAAATGCTTTGGATTCCAATTCCCATGGTCCCCAGGTAGGGCAGTTAGGGAGTGACTGGAGTTGTAGATCTTAAAGTCATCTCAATTCAATTAGAGGGTGTCTTGATTGCAGCTCAAGATACAAATTGAAGTATGTTTTTTTCTTTCCTCCTAAAACCAATGATGAAAATGAAAGTTGAGTTAATTCATTCTCTTCCCCATCCACCCACATATAAAATCTGGCAACAGTTCACAGCCATTAAAGAAAACCTGAAATATTTGTCATGAATGCAGATATACTGTTATACTCCCCTCCTCCATGCATAATTTACAGCAGTCATTTCAACTGCCAATTTCAGTGCATTGTGGTGATTTTAAAGACTTAATATTCACAGTGCAGAAAGAGCCGAAGGAACATTTGACCCTGAGTAGATAAGAACAGATAGAAAGATAGAAATAGACAGGATGAAGGTTGTCCATTTATTTTTAATTATTTAGGATGTTATTACTCTGTAGTTTTTCTCCTTTTTTAAGTTTTACAGGAAAAGCACCCAGACATTGTAGCCGTTTTTTCATACCCCGCCTTTCTCCCAGTTAGAATACGTGATGTACTTTCACATATTGCTTTTTTTTTTTCTTATCACAACCTATCAAATAGAAAAGACAAAACACAGCACAGCGTTTTTGTTTTGGTTACGTTATAATATCTCCTCATAACATATACTGCATGCACAGCTACCTCATTTTTATCTATTAGTTAGTTAGTTGTTTACAATATTTAGACAGCTCCAATCAAAAAGACTCTGGCTAGTGTGCAACAGGGAAAACAACAATCTAGTGACCAACTCTTTAAAACATTACACTCAGTCTACAGTGCCAATACATTGACAATTACCCTGACTAATCATCTGTGTGCCACATTCCATTCTACTTGAGCATCTGTGCCATCTTCAAAGGAAGCTCCCATAGTCCAGTCAGGGAATGATATCGAGACTCACAGAAAACATGCATGAATGATATGCAGCAATTACAGAATTTAAGGCTCAGCAGGCATACATTGTTGGTTTTTATACCCAAGAAATTCCTGCTAACCCCGTTTCCTTCCTTAGTTGCTCTTCCTCTTTGTTGCTGGGCTTTTTAAAAGATCCAACATGGATTTTTTTTTCCAGTTTTGAATGTCACTAAAATTTCAATCAAGTAATAGAAAGTGTAGGGCTAATTGGTTGCTCAGTAACTTCTAAATACATTGTTTTCTCTTTTTGAATCAAAACCAGCACTTCAACTGACCCAAGTTATAAAAAAAACAACAGAATTGTTGTTTCTACAGCATAGAATAAATATTTGGTTGTGGATCGAGCCTTGACTTCTTGAAGATAAATCTATCACAAGAAAACCAGGATGGAACTTAAACTTCAGGAATCTAGTACAGACAGTCCTTGACTTACAACAATTCAATTGTAACTTTGAACAGTCACTAAATGAATTGTTGTGACTGTTCAAAGTTACAATGGCACTAAAAAAAGTTGACTTATGGCCAGTTTTCACACTTATGACCATTGCACATCCCCATGGTCATGTTATTTACATTCAGATGTTTGACAACTGGTTCATATTTGCAACTGTTGGAATGTCCCGGGGTCATGTGATCACCTTTTGTGACTTTCTGGCAAGTAAAGTTGATAGGAAAGCTAAATTCAGTTAACAACAGTGCAAGTAATTGAATGACTGCAGTGATTCACTTAACAAATGTGGCAAGGAATCATAAAACAGGGCAAAAAACACTTAGCAAATTTATTTTAAAATTTAGTATAAATTTGGGGCTCAATTGTGGTCATAAGTTGAGGACCACCTGTACTTAAGAAATGTTAGATTTTAGACTACACAATCTTACCTGAACTTGAAGATTTTTTCCCCTTTAAATAGCATGTTTTATTGTCACCTGTATCTATTCTATTAGGAACCATCCCTTTTGGCATCTGCAGAGGAAGAATCAAAAATATGTTGCACGAACACCCAAAATGATCAGAGAGTGTGGTAGGATGTCATAGTTTTGTTTTCATCATTCTTTGTGATGAAAGCACAAAGATATTGCAGCTGCTGCAGCTCTTCCCCTGACTTATTCTGAGTGCTTCTGTTGTGGTTAGCTGGCAGCAGGTGCGGAAGGCTGAGAAGAGTGAGGACTCAGATGAGGTGCCAGGACCATTAGGGAGTGGACTGCTGCCTTCAGAGATTGTGGGGCTGGCAGCAGCGATGAGGAGGTTCCCGAGGAGCCTGTGCCAAGTGCGCGTGCATGCAGGGCTGCTCACAGGAAAGAGCAGCTGCAGCAGCATGGGTGACTCGGGAGTAAGGCTGCAAGGTAATGGCCCCTCTTTCAAGAAGATAAAAGCCAGCTGTGAATCAGATGTTCTTTGTAGGAAGCAAAGACGTTTTGACACTCAAGCCTCGTGGACATTCCAGTATCTTAAGTTGGTATTTTAAGACTCTTGTGTTGTAAAATATTTCTAGATCACCTTATCTGTTATTCTTGGCAGCCTCACACAGTTTTGGCGAGGCTCATGCTTATCAAAGTTAATTAGTTTGCAGCAGCCTTTTAACTGGGGGTTCGTAAGAATCATTAAAAGGTTTCTGTTCCCTTTGGTTTGTGTTCGTTTTATTGGAAAAGTGTTTGGGTCAGAACAGCTTCAAAGTTTGATACTGAATGCAAGTAAGGATTTTCTGGGCCAAAGTAGGCTTAAGATACTGCTTTGCCAGAACTGCTCAGAACCCAAACTTATTGAAGTAGAATTGGAATGGCTCCATCTGAATATAAATTGAATTTACCTTGTATCCTCTAATAAGTCATTCCAGCAAGAAAAATAATTCAGCTAATGTGTCTTGACAAATCATGGATGTTAGCATTTGAAATGTAACAGGCATAGGAAGAGTTAGGAGTGGTATTCAGCAGGTTCTGACCAGTTCTGGAGAACTGGTAGCGGAAATTTTGAGTAGTTTGGAGAACCGATAAGTACCACTCTGGTTGCCCCCCCCCCATCTATTCACTGCCTCCCAAGTTCCAGCTGATTGGAGTCCCAGCTGATCAGCTGGGTCTTCTTTTGTTGCCCTGCACAGGAGAATGGAGATGGAAAGCAGGTTAGTGGGGTGGAGAGGGAATGGGATTTTGCAGTGACCTTCCCCTGCCATGCCCACCAAGTCCTGCCACACCCACCAAGCCATGCCCACAGAACCGGTAGTAAAAAAAATTGAATGCCACCACTGGAGTGACCCACTAAGTGCCATGAGAAACAAATTACAGCTTCCTTCGACTTTTGTTTTAGTTCAAATATTGAAGATGCACTCATTTAACTTAGTACTAATACAGCTCTCAGAATAAGTAATTTAACTTAGGCGGCACTCATATTTGGTTGCTTGCTGGTGCTTGTATAAATTAAATTAAGCTGTAGCAAACTCTCAGATGCAATGAGAAATGGTAAAATATGAAAAAAAATTAACTTGTGGAGAGGTAGGCAAAAAGGATGAAATTAAGGGGGAAAAAAATCACAGTAAGAAGACTAGGCTTTTATGGTGGTGTGCATAAATGAAGCCAGAAGTTGTTCATTCTACTCATAAATAGTCAATCTGGGAATGTTTGGCTTTATTTTTCCTTTTCATAAAATATAACCCATCTTTCTGAAATATAAATCAGATTGCTTATACTTTCAAAAAAGCATGGGAAGCTACCATATTCCAAACCAGCTTTTCTACTCCAATTATGGGTGACATGTAATACTCTAAATCAGAGCTGTCAAACTCCTGGCCCGTGGGCCAAATGCGTCACATGCTGGACACACACATGCCCAGTTTAGTGAAGCGGGAAAATATGTCACGTGACACAGATATGTCATGTGACGCTGTGAGTTTGACACCCCTGCTCTAAATGTTGCTAAACTTGAATACCGTGGAGTAGTCAAGAATAAGTAATCCCAGTCCAACAACAATGCAAGACCTACAAGCTTTCCTTCTAGGATTTTAACCAAAATGAAAATTTCCTCTCTTATTCAACTACCAGATTCTTTGAACTAAAATACCGACTGAACTTGCAAACATCCACATTAATGCATATGATCCCTCCCCAGCTGCATAATGCAATGGTTTTGTATCAAAATATTCTTTATGTCTTCCTGCTTTTTGAAAGTTGTGGAAGTGGTAGAATCAAACTTGGCACTTTAAAATTTCTGGTGTCAATTCAGTTTTTCAGTACCTAGTGCTCCAGTTGAAAATTTATATTGCTAAAAAAAATATAAAGTTCTGAAAAAAGCCAATCTAATTTGAGTGCCTACACTGTAGGCCTACACTTCATGATTCTGGAAGAAAGCTGAATTTGCTAAGTTAAGAAGGCTGGGGGTTTTAGTCAGTTACAAGAGCTTTATCCCCAAATTTCTTGCCAAGGCTTCTTTGCATAGAAAATATAAAATAATTTAAAATGGGAGTAAAATGACAAGATTTTGCATTTGAATGTTTTATATTATAATATTTGCAGATAAAATGCTGTATTCGAAGTTTTCTAGACTGCTCTATTGTCCCTGTGTGCTACAACTTCAAAAATGTAAATGGAGGCATCACGTATAATTTGTTTAAATGACATTTATTTATTCCTAAATTTGTGATCTGGTGGACAAATATTGATGTAAAAATGTGCAATTATTTTTAATAGAGTGCGCTTTTAGCCTTCAGCCTTCCAGAATAGGCCAGTATGATAAACTAACATGTTTTTAACCTAATAATAAAAAACACATTCACATGAAGGATTTTCTCAGCTTGCTCAGCTTTTATTTGTGTATGGTGTGTAATTTACATGATTTTAAATTATTTTAAATTGCAGTTCAAGAAAGGTGGAAGAGGATGACTTTGATGATTTTACAACAAACCAAAAATGGGTAATGTCTCCAAAAGCTCATGATAGTGATGTGACACTGTTGTTAAACAAGTTACTGAAAGAATATGATAAAAAGCTGCGACCTGATATTGGAAGTAAGTGTTTTTTCTTTCTAATTTCTATGAAGAAGACTATGAATACTTACATATCTAATTGCAGATAGTTATTCTCATTATAATGATCAATCACCATGATCTGAAAAGTATACTTATTGGTGGAGTTTTGCTTCTGTCTGATTAGATCTAGTATGGTAGTATAAAGCTTCAAGTATCACAATAAGGAAATATGCTGTACATTTAAATATGAACTAAGTAACTCATTATATAATAGTTTAATTATTTATTCATCTACATTTACATTGTGAATATTGTAAGTTTTAATTTCAACTCCATCTCCAGCATACTCCAAAATTATGCTATTATGATTGAAAGTATATTTTAAAAAGACCATGAAATGGACATTGAATTTAGCCTAATTTTTTGAATGTAAGATGAACGTGATAAAAACTCTCAAGAATGAGCATCTGGTAGTTCTCTGGAAGTTGACAGAATACATTTTCCATTATCTTGGATATTAACTGTTCATCTTACAGTTGATGCTAATAATATTTGAAAGGCCAGAGGTAGCCCATAACTGGTAGACAAGAATAAAATGGACACTGTGAGTATACTATTGATACAGATCATTTTTACAGTTCTATTAATTAAATTAAACTGGTAGAAGTTAAACACTGATATGCAATTTAACCACAATATTTATTATGAGGATTTAGAAATGGGCATTAGTGTAAAGCCCCTTTAAAAACTGTTAGGTAAGTTTGCAGAAGCTAAGAGTTTTCTCTGCAAATATTAATGGTGATAATGAAGAATGGCACTTGGTTTTAGAAGTAATATATCTGTATAACGAAGTATGCTGAAGCACAGCTCCTTTTCATTCTTTGCCACTTGGGAGGTAGCTATATTAATCAAAAGCAAAAAAACAAAATAAAACAGGCTTATGACAGCTTAAACATTCAGGGTTACTATAATATGAGCATTTAAGGGCTGATAATATTTCATCAAATGCAGGATGTGTTACCCTCTATTGACAGAAGTATTTGCATAATATATATATGCACATACATAGATATATAGAGAGGGGGGGCAGAGCGGGGAGAGGGAGAAATATGTTATGATTATATATGAAAAGCTGAAGATATGCAAGACAGCTATTGCAAACACTTTTTGAAACAGGGTTGATTGGAGCATTGAATTATTTGTTTTTCACTATTTTTTCCTACTAGTAACCTCTGTCCCTGTCCAAGTCATTTTCTCATGTATAATTTGCTCTGATTAGTTGATTATAAAGATCAGGCTTTTCATTTTCATTTTGGGAAGTTATCTCTTTGCAAACCTGTTTTGATCGTGATTTGGCAGCCTAGCAAGGATAACAACAATAATGTTGTTCATGAAATGCTTTGGCTAAAGAAATCTGAGTTTATTGGGCCCAAGAAAGAATAGCTTTAAAATCTTTTCCACTAATGTGATAAAAAGGATAGATTAACACAGTTTTCCACTGAACTGTCTTCTTCTTACAGTCTCTGGTTAGTTGAAATGTAGAGCCATGGTTGTGCAGTAAGAGCTGTGCTGGTACAGTGGTTAGAATACAGTATTGCAGGCCTATTCTGGCACTGCCAGCAGTTTGATCCTGACTGGCTCAAGATTGACTCAGCCTTCCACCCTTCCAAGGTTAGTAAAATGAGGACCCAGATTGTTGTGGGCAATATGCTGATTCGGTAAACCACTTAGAGAGGGCTTTAAAGCACTATGAAGCAGTATATGAGTCTAAGTGATATTGCTATTGTTTACTTCTGGCCAACTGTTGGCTTATCAGACCATGCGCTGCAGTAATAAAGACCTGTGCCATACCTGAAAAAGACTCCAATTCCAGCTGTATTCCAGATCTCCTCTAACTATTACAGAATTACCGATTGCATCCACAAGATCAGGTCTCAATACTTGTTCATTTTTCACTTGTTGTGGCCATAATATGGCCAGCAGTACTCTTTATTTACTATTCTGGCAAGCAGGCCAGTTCATTGATTGATTGATTGATTGATAGACAGACAGACAGACAGAATTCTTTATTTGGCCAAGTGTGATTGGACACACAATAAATTTTTCTTGGTGCATATGCTCTCAGGGTACATAAAAGGAAAGATACATTCATCAAGAGTCAAGAATAATAAGGTACATCACATAATAGGGTACAGACAGGTCCCCCATAGGATAGACAGAAAGAGGATAGATGGATAATTAGATGGATGCACAAACGGACATACACACAGATACAAGCATTGGAATATTATTTTAAAGGTAACTATATTATCCAGTGGAAGTACACTTCAGCTGCTGATGATTGTGGTTGAACTTAAATATTTGATTCCATATCGCTTGAAAAGAACCTTTCTTTAAAACAAAACCATCAGCTTCTCCTAGGGAAAATGTTGGGGCTATTACCTAGTCTCTGGTTTGTGAAATGACCACCAACAATAAAAATCCTGTATTTTGCATTGTTTAAAATCTCACAAATTGTGTGTATGCAATGTCTCTCTGTATGGGCATGTGTGTTTGCTGTGTTAATACAGTATATATTCTTAATTCTGTTAACACCTTATGCATCTCATGCAAGTGATAACTGTTTTGGAGTAGACTTAAGGCAAAAAACAAAGCTTTCTTCTAGAGAAAATGGGGTGGTGTAAAACAAATTTTTAAAATAGGAAAGAAAACTAAACATGAATTGGTTCATGAGGAATGGATATATTTAGTATTGCTCTTAGGCTACGATGTTCTTCCATCAAAGTAATATTTGTCCCCACTCTCTAGGCTTTCAAAAAAGGAACCAAGAATCAATTTATTGAGCTTGACCTTTTAAATTGCTTTAGATGGTTCTCACATTTTAAAAGGCTTTTGTTATTGTTTTCCAGGACTTTGCCCAGCTTACTATTCACAGCTTTGGAGAAAAGATAGCATAGAACCATTATTAATAAATAAAACCAATAAAGAATTGAAGAGAAGAATGTCTAGTGAGAATGAAAACTAGAATTCTAGCAACAGCAGTGTAGTCAGATTGTGAATGCTCTTCTAACTGTTTAGCAATTAGATATGAAGCAAGCTAACATTTTTCTCAGATAATCAAATTAATGGGGCCAAATGACAATGTTCAAACAGAATTCAGGGAAGCTATTATTTTTCAAGAACACAGAAAACTGGAACAAATTCAGTAATTCTTAAGTGTAATGTGATTATTATTATTTTTTGGCTTTAATTTGGCTCAGGATAAAATGAACTATTTATTGCTGAAAAGCAATCAGTGATATTTGTATTTGCATGTGTTTCTGTTTGAAACTATGGTGGGGAAGGTTTTTAGATTTTTATATGTGTATGAGAAAGAATTGGATGTTAGACATATAATGTCATTGGTAGTTTGTTATTAAACTCTGTCTCTTCTACGAAATGGCCATTTTATTTGGCTTGTAAAAATGTAGTGTTTTTAATGCCATGGAATGCAGATGGTGGAGGAGAGTGAGGACTTGGATGAGGGGCTGGGACCTTCAGGGAGTGGACTGCTGCCTTCAGGGATTGTGGAGGCTGGCAGCAGTGATGAGGAGGTTCCGGAGGAGCCTGTGCCAAGTGCGTGTGAGTACAGGAGGATTCATAGAAGAGAACAGCTGGAGCAGCACTAGTGACTTGGGAGTAAGGATGCAACATAATGGCCCCTCCCTCCAAGGAATATAAGCCTGGTTTCAAAAGGGTTTTGCCTCTGCAGAAGGTAAAAACATTCTAAGGACCCAGCATTGTGTGTAGAGACTCTGGCTTATCTGAAGAATTCTGTCAAGGCTTTTCTGGTTGGACTAATTGGCTGCAAGCCATCTTTTATCGACAAAGAAGTTCACTTGTAGATTAAAGCTGTGAAGGTTTGAATTGCTGCGTTTGTTTGAGATTTTCTTGCTGGTAACAGGGTTGGGTCAGAACACTATCTTAGCATTATATTTATGAGTGAACTGGCTTCACAACAGTTAATATACTTCTATGTCAGAATATGCAGTGCCAGACTCTGCCAGAGCTTTTTAACACCAGCTTTCGAAGCTTTAACAATAACACAGTTCACACCCAGTAGGAAGACTTGCAACAAAATTTTAAGAGTGATATCTTAGTATATTATATATAGCCTGCCTTTCAGGCCACTAACTTGAAAATAGATTATTTCCTACATATGAGCAGCTAAACTGTTCAGTTCTGATGTTACAGCAAATAATCAAGTCACAGTGAATGTCAGTAAGGTGACTTACAGCCATATATTTTCCCTAATATTTAAATATCATTTGTTGGGAACATAATTCTTACTATATCAAAGCATGGATTTATAAATCTGGGCTTAGACTGAAGAGATAATTGGCCTCTTGTCTATTCTAATATTGTTCCAGGCAGCATTAAGATTCTTAAATAGTTCTACAAAACTGCAACCAGTTTTTCTGCTGATTGAGTATATGCAATTAAGTTAGTACTTTCTCTTAGTAAACATACAAATAGATCTTCTCCAGAATAATCTCTCACCAATCTGGCCCTTCAAGTCTTAGCAGTGCACCCATGAACATACTTTACTTGTTATATATTCCTATAACAATTCTACAAGAATATTTATCCTGGAAGTTTTGTTGAATTAATAGAAGCAAAATTTGTCCTTGAGGAATTCAGTATCCTTCTAGTTTTTTTGAAGGATAGAGTATGACAATAAATATTTATTGCATCTTTATTAGAGATTTATGGAGTATTATATATTATGTTTAGAAACCTATACCATTCTGGATAAATGGTTGCCCAGTTATACTTAGACTGGCCAATTTCTTAATCTTTCATCTAGAAACTTGGCTAATTTGTTGCAATCCTATATGAATATTTCTGGAATAGATGTGGATAGATGATGATAGATAGATAGATAGATAGATAGATAGATAGATAGATAGATAGATAGATAATCCTGAAAGAAGCAAAGATGTGAAAAGAAGAGCAAGTTAGTTCAAAATCTTATAGACCCCAAAGGTATAGAATTGCTT